CATTAGTAGCATGTTAGTGACATTAGTGGCATGTTAGTGACGTGTTTGTGTTGTGAGTCGGGTTTGACGTGTTTGAGTTCACATGTCACTAAATGGCACATTAGTGGCATGTTAGTGACATTAGTGGCATATTAGAGACGTGTTGGTAGTTACATTAGTGACATGTTAGTGGCATGTTAGTGACATGCTTGTAGTTATTTTAGTGGTATCTTTGTAGTTACATTGTGGCATGTTAGTGACATGTTTGTAGTTACATCAGTGTCATGCTTGTGACATGTTAATATTTCCTTTGTTATCGAATAAGTTGAATATTACCATTTCGCACGCGACATGGACAAGATTGTCTATCTTTACTCTAAATTTGTTAACACTTGCATTCTATTTTACAGCTCGGCGAGCCGCGAACTGAATAATAGGAATAAGGATGAGAATTTATTCTCTGTGATTATATGTATGCAATTAGGAATGTTTTATTATGATTATTTTACAGCTCGGCAAGCCGCGAACTGAATAATATGAGTACGGTAATGATGTGAATTCATTCTCTGTGAATATACGTATACAACTAGGAATGTTTTATTATCATGATTATTGTTCAGTTCGGCAAGCTGCGAACTGAACAATANATGCGGTTTGAAAAATTCTTCAAGTGTGCAAATTGGCGCTGCGTGCTTCGATCTAATTTTGTTGTCCTAATTTTTTCCAGTGTTCGGCCACGACACGGACGATTGTGATGACAAGCAAACCTTCTAAAGACTCATCAACTGCATCAACTGCATCAACTTCGACATCAACTGCATCGAAGTTGGGTGTTCGGCTAACATGTGATGAATCAACTGATATTGTTTGAAAAAATTGTACATGATATTTTCATGACAATCGAGAGGGGGTATCTTAACCATTATACAGACAATCAGCTGATCATTACGTTCTGATGATCTTATTATTACCTTTTGGATTTAACCCGATACTTGAGGCTTGGTAACCGCGCAAAAAAATTAGGCGGTTTTTGACGCGTGTTTGGTTCATGGATGCATATGAATGAACCATGAAAGTTATGCTCGACTCGCGCTCAGTTCCTGTATAATGTTACAAGGCATAATTCAGAGTTACGTGTCGTTTAGTCCATTATTGCGAATTATCAACATCTGTTATGGTTCTCGATTGATTAAAGTTTGAATAGACACTTCGATTCGCGTCTTAAATATCTGATGAGAGTTTTCAGTTTTGGTGTCAAATATTGATTGATGTGTAAACTTATGTTTAACCTGAAATTAATACTCAAACGATGCAGCGCATGAGCGGCTTTGTGTCTAGTGTAATATTTATGCTCTGTTACAGCCGTTATTTGTTATTTATGCCTAGAATGTTTTATCTTAGATTTTTGTGTTCCTTTCACCCAATATCATGAGAGCTTCCCATGAATGCACTGAATTATGTACGTGACGGCTCTCAATACGCGTTGTTACTAAAGTTATTTTTTAATAAAAGTAAAATTTTAATCCTCTGTCTTGAATATTCGATCTAAATGTCTTCAAAAGCCTATATTTTCATTGTGCTGTGCATGATTTAATTTTTTGAGACGTACGAAAGATCGAAGACATGAAGATCTTCCACTAATGTATAATTTGATAATTATACTATCAAATTATTTGATGTTGTCAATGCGTGTGATTTTACAGCCTAATTAAATATCCTTGCTTAACTGAAAGCCGTTCCTGAACTGAATATACATTGCTGACAATTTATAATAATTATTTATTTATGTCTCGTTCTAATTAAACTTGGAATTCCATGGATGACGCTGTACTTTATAAACTTTGAAGCATTAGCATAATGAAGACGTTCCTAACTCCAGATGTCTTGAGTATCTAGACGCAAGCTATTCTGGTCGCTTGTTTATTGTGTTAATTAGGGTTCCTCCCGTACTGTAGGGAACAAGGTGCACTATTCTACAATGTGTGCTGTAGGATTCCAGTTAGGGTTCCAGTTACTGGATTTACTGTAGAGTTCCAGTCTCTGGGTTCGCTGTATGGTTCCAGTGTTGTTGTCGTTGTAGGGTTCCAGTCGCTGGGTTTGTTGTAGGGTTCCAGTCGCTGGGTTTGTTGTAGGGTTCCAGTCGTTAGGTTTGTTGTAGGGTTCCAGTCGTTAGGTTTGTTGTAGGGTTCCAGTCGCTAGGTTTGCTGTAGGGTTCCAGTCGTTAGGTTTGCTGCAGGGTTCCAGTCGTTAGGTTTGCTGTAGGGTTCCAGTCGTTAGATTTGCTGTAGGGTTCCAGTCGTTAGGTTTGCTGTAGGGTTCCAGTCGTTAGTAATGCTGCAGACCTGGAGGTAATATTGTCTGATAATTACTTATTATTACAGACCTGTAATGCTGCAGACCTGGAGGTAATATTGTCAGTTAATAAGTAATTATCATTAGCTGTTAATAATTCGATTTATTTTGTGATCGTTAATGATTGTGATTTTAGAGCTGTTACCTTCTGGGTAACTAAATTATCGCAGGTATTTTAGCGTGCCAGAAATCAGATCTCTGTTATGGATAACTAACGATTGTTATTGATTTTAATTAATATAATTTAAGTCTAATGAATGTAAATAACTTTCATTTGAGCTTTCATTTTCGAAAGAGGAGCAGACATATAATGTTGCAGACTTGGAGGCATCGTAGTTTGCAAACAAATTTATCACTTTCATTGATCACATAACATTGAGATTATAATTTCAATAATTATTTTTAATCATAATCAATAATACAATAATCATAATTTTTAATTATTTGTATTATGATTTCTAGAATGATATTCAGAGAAATCAATTTTCTTTAAACCAATTTTGCTATGATATGCATGTTTTAATTGGGAAAATTTATTAAAAAAACGTGCTTGTATGAAGATATGAAGCTAAATAGTGATAGTCTTGACAGTCAGAGGCTGCGATGCATCGTGGCCTGGGACGGCTGTGTCCAAAAATAAGTACCGTAAGGACACTAAAGAAACTAACAGCGCTTACTTTCAGCCAGATATTACGTTTAATTATATTATATTATATTATATTATATTATATTATATTATATTATATTATATTATATCATATTAATATATTATAAGATATATTATTTTATTTATACAGTCACCCTGTGATATTTTTAAACCATGTTTATAACACCAGGGCCTGAGCAGCTCGGAGGCAGCTAAGGTGCGTGTACTGGAGACGAGGCTGGACGAGATGCAGCGCGGGCTCTCCAGCGACGCGTCCGAGTTAAACTCTTCACTTATACCTGACGCCGCCACCAATGATAAAGTACGTTGATAGCGTGCATTTAATACTTGATTTGCTAATAGTAGCTTTAACTAATACACTTGACGTCGCCACCAATGATAAAGTACGTTGATATCGCGCATGTAACCTCTGCTTTGCTAATACCTAGTAGCTTTAACTCCTTTGCTTTGCTAATAATAGCTTTAACTAATACACTTGACGCCGCTACTAATGAGAAAGTACGTTGATATCCTGCATTTAATACTTGATTTGTTAGTAGTAGCTTTAAGTAATACACTTGACGTCGCCTCCAATGATAAAGTACGTTGATATCGCGCATTTAATTCTTTCTTTGCTAATAATAGCTTTAACTAATACACTTGACGTCGCCACAAATGATAAAGTACGTTGATATCGCGCATGTAACCTTTGCATTGCTAATAGTAGCTTTAACTACCAGGAATTTGGATGCGATTAACATTGAAGAATCTATTTTAGTCGTAGACAATTGGTTAACAATTAGTCTAATTGCGATAATTATAGTTATTAAGTTACTTTGTTCTTTAGGTATGAATACTACCGACGGCTTAGTTGTCCGTTGCTACAAAGTGTATATCTGTCGGTTGAAACTGGATCCCCGAACCAGTAAAGACTTGATGGAATTATAGCAAATTACTATTCATAGATCTTTCCTTTTGTTCTCATTTTCATTTATAGTGAAGTTGATTTGTTTTATGGTTTCACTTCACCAGTTGAGAGCAATAATTTTGGTATGAGTAGGTACGTATACATATTCTCAATAGGATAGATGAAGATGCCTATTATTTTAATGCTGTGCCCAAATGAATCACTCATTCACTTATTATTCATGATTCCAGTGAATTAAATGTAAGTGTACCTCACCTTGTCTCCAGGTCCAGGGTCTAGAACAGCAAAGAGACGAGCTGCAAAAGCAACTCAGCGAACTAACCGACAAGTTTGCAGCAGCCGAGGCTGAAAAATCAGCGCTACTGAACAACGTAGTCATGCAAGAGCAGAAAATAAAGTTGCTGGAGGAGAAGCACGAGCCAAATGTTACAGCTTTGGCCAGCGATGAGGTTTCAAGGGCAAGAATTAAAGAATTGGAAGCGTTACTTGAGGCAAGGAAATTGGAACTGCTCGAAGAAGTGGACCGAGCCATTGGTCTTGATGCTAGAGTCAAGGAACTGGAATTTATTATTGAGAAGAAGACAGAAGCCAGTGACTGGACAAAAGAAAAAGAGGCTCTGGAAATTGAGGTAGCTGCGCAGAAAGGAATGTGTGGTGAATTCGAGAAAAAGTTGAAAGAGTTGGTTGAAGAATTAACAAGAGAAAAGCTAAGAAGAGAGGAGCTAGAGCAACGTTCAAGAGAATTAGAGATATGCTTGGAAGATAGCAAGAAAGATGTTCTGGAAAACGCCGTTTTCAGAGAGAAGCTAGAAATAAATTGCCGTGATCTACAAGAGAAAACAAAAAGAATTCAAGATTTAGAAAGTGAAGCCATTGCTCTTCAAGAAACTCTTAAGAAGAGTTCCTCCGACTCTAGTGAACAGATCGTCAAACTTGAAGCATCTGTTGGTGAACTCAAAAATCAACTGCAAAGCTTGCAAGATGAACTGAACTTGAAAAACGATGATATTTCCAAGCTTAAGGTTGAAGTTTTAGCCAAAGATGAAGCTGTGAAAGTTGAAATCCGAAAACGTGAGGAAGATCAAGTGAAAGGCCAAGGCGATGCTGAAAAGCTTTTAAAGGAAAAAGATTCCTTGCTGAAGTGCAAGGATCAAGATATTGCCAAGTTTAAATCTGAAATAGAGCAACTGGTGATGAATTTAGCGTCTAAAGAGACATCCGTCAAAGAATTAACCATAAATCTTGAAGGCAAAGAAACTGAACTGAAATCTAAGTCTGAAGAAATTTCCGTGCTAAAAAGTGAAGTATCTGAATTGAGCAATAAAAAGACAAATGCCGAACATAACTTAGCCGAGGCCGAAAAGACTCTAAAGGAGAAAACTTCAACTATTGCAACCCTAGAAAAACGTTTACTAGAAGAAGAAACCCGTACGCAAGAGCTTTTATCGGCATCCAAGGAAAAAGACGAAGGTTTCGAAGAAGAGGTGAGCAAGAAAAAGAAATTAGAAGATCGAGTCTCGCAGCTTGAAGTGGACTTGAATCAGAAGGCAGATGAAATCGGTGCGCTGTCTGGTAAAGTCCTTGAACTTGAGTTGAAAAATAAAGAAATGACTCAATTGGTGGCTGAAAAATGTCGTACTGAGGAACAAATAGTCAAGGAACACAGTGAAACTCATGAAAAACTAGCGTCAGAACGAAAAGCTCTTGAATTAAAAGTCGAGATTCTCCAGAAAGAGTTGGAAGATGAAAAATTTTCCAAAAAAGAAATTGAACAAAATTTTTCAGAGACTTCATCCCTGCTTGCCACTGCAAATCAAACCCTGACGACCACCAATGAAGAATGTAAAAGGCTTGCAGATGAGGTTACTAATCTGAAGCAACAATTGGCTGATAAGGCGAAGGCTCTTGATGAACTAAAAAGCAACGTGTCAACGATGGAAGCAAATTTGACAAAATCTCAAGAAGAAAATGATAAGCTACAGCATAAGAATGAAGACCTTCTGCAAAATATTGGCAAGCTTCAAGAGCAGCTTGACGAAAAAGCAGAGATTCTCCAAAAAGAGGCTACCGAAAAGGAGGACTTATCAGCCAATCTCAAAGAATCCCAGAACAAACTTGAGGAATTGTCAGAAAACTTGAAGAAAAAGTCCGAAGATTTTGTTGAACTCGAATTGAAACTTAAGCTGAACCAGGAGCAACTTAAAGATGCCGAATCAACTTCAGCTACTCTGAAGGTGGGTGATCTTTGTATGAATAACTTGATTTCAACGATGTGGACGAGTTGACATTTGTTTCATTTTTTAAGTTCATTTAAGTTTCAATCCATGTTGCTGCGTGCCCAGGGATTTAACCACCATTAAATGTGTTTAAGTTTTTTACCACTACCGGTACATACATATTTATTGTGGGTAATTTTATATAAGTTCAAAAAATAATTTCGACCTGCGAAAAATATATTGATAGCGAAAAATATACTGAAAAAAATGTCTTCCAGGGTGAGTTGAATGCCGTCGCCGATGAGCTGAGCGCTGAAATGACAGCTCGACTGGCTGACGCTGAAGTCAAAAAGCAAGAGCTGCAGGAGGCGGCAAATAAGAGGGAATTTCTGCTGCAGGAGCTGGAGGACCAAAAACAGAAGCATGCAGACGCTATGGGTGCCATGGAACAACAGCTCTCAAAAGTCGTACGTTTAGAAAAAAATTTAGAAATAAAGATTATTCAAGGTGTTCGATGAACAATTTTTAGAAAAACATGTAGATACATTTTAATTAATTTTTTAGATAAAAAACTCATTCTAGCTTCCTTACTCTATGGTCAGTTTTTTGTATCTAATTATATATCTTTGTAGTGCAGTGTACTTATTTTCTTCATTGATGCATGATACCATAATTGGTTAAATTAAAAATGTACAATTTATTTCTTGATCGACTGCATGATGATTGATTTAATTAAAGAATGTACAATTTACTTCTTCTAGTCACCTCGGTTACCCCATATACCATATATCATATACTATATACCATATACCATATATCATATACCATGTAACCATATGGTTATATTTCACTCTGTTTATGTTGTCGTACATTATGTTTTTTATGCAGCGTGAGGAACTGACGGCCTCTGAAGCTGAGGCGGGAGACTACAAGCGACTGCTGGAGGCTGAGCAGAGCAAAGTCGCTGAGCTGCAGCAACTCAAGCAGAGTCTGCAGGACCAGGTATTTAAATTATAAGCATTTAATAACCTGTTTTTCTACCTGCAAAGTAACAGGCGTCTGATATTTAAGACATATTTGGCCCTCAAATTTATCAGGAGAAGGACGAACAGCTCACGGCTGCTCGGGATGATGCCAGAGAGAGGAAGATGGAGAGAGACAAGGAGAAACAAGATAAGGAAAAAGCACTCAAAGAATTAGAAAATGAACGAGCTTTGAAAGAAAGCTTACTGATTGAGAAGAGAAAACTGGAGAGTGGTAAAGTTGAAACTGACAAGGAACTTTTGGAGACCAAAAAGTTACTGGATGTTCTTAAAATAGAGAAAGAGGATGCGCTGAAACAGAAAGAAAGTGAGAGAGAAGCTCGACTTTTACAAGAAGAAAAAAGTTCTAAGAGAGAAAAAGAAATTGAAAAATTAAAAGAAGAGAAGCAAGTAGAAATAGAAGCGCGCGAAAGAGCTGAAAAAGAAGCCTTGGAATCGAAAAAAGACTCAGAGAAGGAATTAACTGCTAGAATACAAGCTGAAACTGATAAGTTAGAAGAGTTGAAAAAATATTCCGAAGAACAGGAAAACAAGGCTGCCACAACCGCCAAGAATTGCGTTGCTCTTGAAGAAAAGATACAAGAGATTCTCGCCCAGGTTGATAAGGAGAAGTCAGAAAAACTTGAGTTGAAAACTGAACTTGAAAATCAAATAGCGATTTTGAAAGCCCACAAAGAATCTGTTGAGCGTGAAGTAGCTGCTAAAGATGACGAGGTTTTCAAGTTAAAGGAAAACTTGAAATCAGTTACTCATTTAAGCAATGAATTTGAAATGAAACTGAAGGCAGCTGAAGCCGAGAAACAGTCTGAAAATGAGAAACATTCTACGGAACTTAAAAGGTTGGAAAAAGAGATACAAGAAAAGGAAGATTCTCTGATGAAAATGAAACTTCAAGTGGAAGAAAAAGATGTCTTAATTGCAGAAAAAGATTCCCTTCTCAGCGACAGCGGCGAAATAGGAGCTCAGAAATTGACTCTTGAAACAGAAAAGCAAGCTCTTCTGGAGAATCTTTCACAGGTGACTAGCGAGACCGAAGAATTTAAGAGGATAATTCAGAAACTTGAGAGTGAAGTTAATGAGGTGAAATCGGAGAAAATTGAACTGAACAGTCGATGCTTGGAACTGGAAAAATCAAACACTTCATTAGGAAATAAATTGAAGGATATTGAAACGCAGTTATCTTCTTCTCTCGATGAAATCGCCTCGTTCAAAGCAAAGGAAGAACAAGTGAGAAAAGACGTGGAAACAAAGCAATTGAAAATTGTTGAGCTTGAAGGAAATTCTGCTGCATTACTTACTGAAAAAAATATTTTGGATGAGAAGGTCAAGAAATATATTGATGATTTGAAGAACAATCAAGAGGCTAAAAATATGCTAGAAGACGAGAAAAAAGTTTTATCTGAAGAAAAGACCAAGCTTGAAAAACAATTATCTGAAGCAGAGGGCAGGTATTCAGGTCTGCAAGAACACGTTACTGAACTTACCGCTAAACACGCGCGTGAAGTCGAGTCGCTTAGAAGTAGCGAGTCTGATTATGTTTCAAAAATCGTAGCCGAAAAGACCGTGCTGGAGGAAAATTTGAGACGCCTAACGGAAGAACACACTTTACTGGAAAGTAATCTTGTAGAATTGAAACAAAGTTTTTCGACTTCAGCGACGGAGATTGAGGATTTGAAGGGACAAAAAATTAGGATTGAGGAAAGCCTAGCAGTTTTAATAACTGAGAAAACTGCGCTGGAGGAGTCACTTGTTGCTTTAACTGAGAAAAATCAGAAGCTTGCTGAAGACCTGCAGCTTCGGGAGACTACTGAAGCTGATTTAAAAAAGAAATTTGAAGATGAAATCCGCAAAAATTCTGTTCTACTTGAAGAAAAATCACAGGTTGTTGAAAAACTTGCTAAGACTGAAGGCGAAAAGTCCGTTTCTGAAATCGAGAAGAAGTCGCTGCGTGATGATAAACAGAATTTATTAGAGAAAATAAAGATTCTGGATGCCGAGGTTTTTGAACTGAAGAAATCTCTGGGATCCCTTAATGAAATGTCATCCGCTAATGCTCTCCTTGCTGAGAAGGTAATTTTCTTAATCTAAGTAATTTTCCAATCGACGGTCAATGACCGCAAACGTTTCAACTTTACGTCTAAGAACGACAAATAATCTCAATTTTAACTAATATTCAGTGCAAGGAATTCAAAAACAAAGAAAACGCCAAACAAATTCACCATACCGATATTTAATGATAGCCCGTACAGGGAACGAACCTGCGACCACTCGTGAACACGATTTTTTTGCTTTTAAATTCCTTGTAAGTTTGCGATATAAGCAGACTGATAATATAAGTATTAATTGCAATATGTAGCATATTTTCTTATTTATTTCATATTTCTTAAGTTGACATCACCGATAATGGTCTCAGGTTCGTTCTCGCACAGGGAACGAAACTGTGACCACTCGTGAACACGTTTTTTTTTGCTTTTAAATTCCTTGTGAACTTGCTATATAAGCAGACCGATAATATAAGTATGCATTGCAATATGTAGCATATTTTCTTAATTATTTCATATTTCTTAGGTTGACATGAGCGCTAAAGAAAACCAGCAACTACAGCAGAGCAACGCGTCTCTGCAGCAGGAGCTAGAGGCGACACGAGCGCTGCTGCAGGAGGCGCAGAAGGAGCTACAGGAGCTTAACGAGCGCAGCAGAGATGACCAGGCCGTCAGAGACGAGCTTGCTAAAGAAATCGAAGATATCAGCGCCAGGTAAAGATAGCGTCACTTATAATAATTCATTTTAATACCTTTCCCAACAACGATAAATTAGTCCTGTGAAATATACCTCTTAGATGTTGATTGAGTACCTAAATAAGTTAATCGTGTCTCTAGCTGTGTACATGTTGCTTTGTCGTTTGCATGATCCCATCACGTGGGAATGCAAAATATGCCTATAGGAATATTATGTAGCTATGGCCAACCTCGTTTTTAGCGCATTTTATCATTTATGGAAAAAATGCACTATTGTGCTCGCCATGTCCGTCTGTATGTCCGTCCGTGACTTCACGTTTTCGTCGACGAGAAAATGCGCTCTCTGTCATTCACTGCAGTGAGTACTGAGTTATATTTTTTTAATATTTCCTTTTCTGTGCAGGATGAACAGCAAAGTCGAGGAGCTGGAAACTGAGAAGCAGAACCTGGTCGAAGAGATCGTAGCTCTGCAAGAGCTGCTCAGTGCAGCAAAGGCTGTTGATTTGTTGTTTACATGACCCCATCACGTGGGAATACTAAATATATCAACAGGAATATTATTTAGGTATGGCCAACCTCGTTTCTTTTAGTATTTTCATTTGNACCAGCTCAAGGTTGCGTGTCGTTTCCTGAAATTCTGCCAGAAGTTCCTTCGCAAAATTAGTCTCTATTTCAATTTAATATTAGAGGTTCCCAGAATTTGTTGTTTTTGAATACATAATTCATCCTGCTCTATCAGTTTAGCAATGGATTTAACGTTCAGAAAATTAATTAATATCCATAGCATAAGGAAGAATGCAACATTTTCGCTGTATTTTGTTTGATCTTATTTTATTAGTTAGGTGTTAAATCCAATCGATCGAGTAATTGTGACACTTGACGTCGTATTACATCACGTTCCTCGCCAGGTTGGCAGAATTAACACAAAAACAACGTACGCAGAATTAACACATATGTAACGTACGTAGAATTAACACAAATATAACCTACGCTAAATTAACACAAATATAACGTGCGCAGAATTAACACAAATATAACCTACGCTAAATTAACACAAATATAACGTGCGCATAATTAACACAACTATAACCTACGCTAAATTAACACAAATATAATGCGCGCAGAATTAACAGAAATAAAACGTACGCATAATTAACGCAAATATAACGTGCGCAGGTTGACCTGCGGACGGCGCAGTATGAGATCGCGCAGAGCGAAGACGACCGCGCGGCGGAGCGCGAGGCGGAGACCGAGCGTAGCATTTACCCACGGAAATCATCCTTTGTGTTCAACACAGACTTGAACCCCGAATTTTTGTTAAACATTAGTTTCTTTCGAAGTCGAGTATAGTACTTGCACAGAAATTAGTGGAAATGGATAACTATCATAAATCATGCGGATCTTCATCTTTAGCATAGTTAGAGTAAAAAAGTTTTATTAAGTAATTTTGAGAATTGATGTTAAATAGATTAGTAATAAAACAACAGCTATAATTCATGATTTCTGGGGCCATACTTTAAAAAAAATTAAGAGATCGTCCAATCATTGCAACGGCCTTTCAAGCAAAATCCACCAATCATAGACAAGAAAATAGAGCGTAAGTACTTACGTTCACTTAGCGAGTTTTGTAAGTATGGCCCCTGATTTTTTTGAATATTATCGACTTCGGTTTCCGCAGCCTCAAAAATTAAAATCACGTTCGTTTATAAATTCAATTCCTGAATTTTAACTCGGATATCGAGCCTGCAATCGATACCTAATAATTGAATTCAGTAATAACTTGAATTCCTAAAAAATTGAACAGATCGCATTATTCCGACTATTTTTTTGTGATAAATGTGAATTATTGACGAGATGAAGAAATTGAATTTTTCTGACCATATTTCCTTGTGATAACTTCAAATTACTGACCAATGAGGAGAATGAGCGTTATCCTGACTGGTTTTTAGCTATCAGTTTTTATTACTGACGAATTTTAAAGATCAAATTTTTTTCTCAGTAATTAGACAATTTTAGTGATCTAATACGGAAAACAAGTTGGCGCCGTTAGTGTTACTATATCTTTATCGCATATGTTGAACAGCGTACAGAACTACCGGTATTGTCTTTTTCGAGTATAAAGCTTAGATCTGGATCTCACATCTCCACAATATAAAGCAAGCGTGCTATAATATGTCGATGAGAAGTAGTTGTGAAAATATTCATCTCATCAAATTGAAACGAAGTCTGCCGGGTATCAAAATAATTTTACCCATTGAATTTAAGGTTAAAAATTAAATCTAAAATAAAAAATACTTGATCTCTATAAACGATATGTAGTATAGGTATACTCATTGCGTGCTGTGGTGTTTCATAATAAATTCTAAATGCATTTCTGCGATAGTTACATGAGCGTGTGGGTCTAATATATTAGAAATTTCATTGCTTCTAGGGCTTAATTAATGACAATATACCTAATTGCGAAAATTTGTGAGTTCTCGTTAAATTTTTTCAGCGCGCTTGAATTTGACATAAATTAACGTTTATTCGTCCACGACTAGCAAAGACGCTAACTTGGCATAAAACATCTTTCAAATCTTACATAGAAAAGCCAATTGTTACCGGAGCGAGCCAATTATTCACCGAAACATTTAAAAAAAAAAGCCAATTATTACTGAAAGAAAACAATCATCCAAAGAAAAAGCCAATCATTCGCCGAAAAAAACCAATCGGTCACCGAAAAAAGCCAATCATTCACCGAAAAGATAATTTATTTCCATCATTATTTCCTGATCTCGCAAGCATACTAGTACAATAGGTATCATAAATACCGTATACTCTCGAACTATCTGCCACGACTCAGACATTGGCTTGGCTTACACACACAGAGATTGTATTATTAGCCAGTCAAGGGAAATCGTAATGGTCAAGGTTTATGGTCTAATGGAAATCAGTCAAGGTTTATGGTCTAATGGTCTAATGGAAATCAGTCAAGGTTTCAGATGTGCTTGCGTACCGTAATGTATTTTCTGAAAGAGGTGCTGAAAGCTGTATAAATATTTATGATTGCAGATTAATATTAAATAGAAGGGATTTAATCGATGTTTTGTAAATTATATCCCAATTATTATAATAACAGATTCCTGTAACTTTATTGGAATTGAAAGTATACATCGCAGATTGCATTCCACTTATTACGATTGCGTAGTACAGATGCAGTAAACTAATTTAATAATTATTCATTCATTAAATTTAATAAAATTAAATTTAATGTGCTCCAGCTCACCAGCCAGCTGGCGCAGGTATGTGCTGGCTAACTCCACCGTGCTCCAGCTCACCAGCCAGCTGGCGCAGGTATGTGCTGGCTTACTCCAGTAGCACTTCTGAAACATCAATTAGTTAATTGAGGTTTAATTTTTTTCGGATGTTCGTTAGTATATTTAAAAAAAAATTCTTCCACACACAGGCATTTAGGCGTGTGCGAACACTCTCTGCGTTCATTTATAATAACACCGTCTGAGTGTTCGGAACGCTATACGAAGGAAAAATTACCTTAATCCTAAAGCGAAAATCTGGATTAATATTCAAGATTGATTTGTAGGCTAAGCTTCGGCGTGACCGTGGACAAATTCATTCAAAACTTATCATAAGAGCACAGATAATTTTCTTGTCGTTGCAATCGAGCCATAATCAACATTAAAATAATATTCTTTATTACGAATACTTATTGATCATTATTATATTAATAATAATAATAATATTGATAACCCAAGCATTTCGTATACGTAGTTATTGATAGTTATTACCATATCCAAGCATTACGAATACCGGTAGTTATTAATTATCATTTTATCGATGTAATAATAATATTGATAATGCAAGCATTAGAAATAGTTATTGATTATTATTATAGTAATAATAATAATAATATTGATAATCCTTTCATTTCGCCCGGACAGGCGCAGTTCGGCGAGAGCGAGGCTGTGACGTCACTGCAGCAGGTGGTATCCATGCTACAGCAGGAGAACGCTCTGCTGCAGACCAAACTAGACGAGACCAGCAGACAACTGGACGATGTCACCTTCAGACTGGAGGAACAGACCTGTAATGCTGCAGACTTGGAGGTAGTATTGGCTGTTTATTACGTATTATTACTGACCTGTAATAATGTCTGATAATTACGTATTATTACAGACCTGTAATAATGTCTGATAATTACGTATTATTACAGACCTGTAATGCTGCAGACTTGGAGGTAATAATGTCTGATAATAATTGTTATTATTAATTCTAGTACCTACCTCTATTACTTGGCTAATAATTATTATTAATAATTCTATTATTACTATCACTTGGAGGTAATATTGTCTGCTAATTATTATTATTAATATTTTTGTTATTATTGTTATTACATGGAGGTAATATGGTCTGTTAATTATTCGATTTATTTAGTGATAATCAATGATTGTGATTATCCAGCTGTTACCTCTCCTGGCTAACTACAGTACCGTATCGCAGGTATTTTGGCATGCAATAAACCAGATGTTTGTTAGTGATCACCTATGATTGAGATTGATTTTTCTATAAGTTTAATAAATAACTTTTATTTGAGCTGTTAACTTCGACAGTGAAGCAGATTTATAATGCTGCAGACTTTGAGGTACATAGTATTGTAGTACGCAAGAAAATCTATCACTTTCATTGATAACCTAAGATTGAGATTATTATTTCAATAAGGCAACTTAATTACTATTAATGAGATGTCATCTTCAGGCTCAAGGAATTGATCTGAAAATATTCAGACTTATACTGCATTTTTCCGCACCATACTTGTGTGAGGAATGACATTAATAATTAAAAAAAATGTATTGCAATTTCGACAATGATATTCACAAAAATCAATTTTGTTTAATCTAATTTTTCTAAAATATGTATGTTTAAATATCGATAATTTACAAGAAGCGTGCTTGTATGAAGATATGAACTAGCTAACACAGGTAGTGATAGTCAGAAACGACGATGCATCGTGGCCTGGGACGGCTGTGTCTGAAATAAATAGTACCGGTAATGACACTTAGGAGACTAACTGTGTTTACTCTCAGCCAGATATTATGCTTAATTATATTAAATTATGTTGTATTATATTCTATTACCTATCTTATATTATATTATATGGGAGACTAACTGTGCTTACTCTCAGCAGGATATATGTTTAATTATATTAAATTATGTTGTATTATATTCTATTACCTATCTTATATTATATTATATTATATCATATTATTATATTAAATGATATGTTATTTTACATATACAGTCCCCCTATAATATTTCTAAATCATGTTCATAACACCAGGGCCTGAGCAGCTCGGAGGCAGCTAAAGTGCGTGTACTGGAGACGAGGCTGGACGAGATGCAGCGCGGGCTCTTCATAGACGCGTCAGAGTTGAGCTCTTCACTTACACTTGACGCCGCTACTAATGATAAAGTACGTTAATAGTGTGCATTTAATACTTGCTTTGTTAGTAGTAGCTTTAACTAATACATTTGACGTCGCCACCAATGAGAAAGTACGTTGATATCGTGTATTTAATTGTTGCTTTGTTAGTAGTGGCTTTAACTAATACACTTGACGTCGCCACTAATGATAAAGTAGGTTGATAGTGTGCATTTAATACTTGCTTTCTTTAAGAATAAAGGCTAAAACTAAAAAAGTTGCATAAAACATTTTAGTGTATAGAAGTCCTAGATAAACAAAACTTGCTTGCTTGCTTTGCTAATAGTAGCTTTAACTAATACACTTGACGTCGCCAACAATGATAAAGTACGTTGATATCACGCATTTAATTCTTTGCTTTGCTAGTAATAGCTTTAATTACCAGGAATTTGGATGCTATTAACATTGAAGAGTCTATTTTAGCCGTAGACAATGAGTTAACATTTAGTCTAATTGCGGTAACTCTTGTTATTAGTTTTTAAGTATGAATAGCGAAACAGGATCTCCGACCAAGAAAGAACTTGGTGGAATTATTGCAAACTATTCATAGACCTTTCCCTGTGTTTTCATTTTCATTTACTTTGCAGTTGAGTCGTTTTATGGTTTCACTTCACCAGTTGAGAGCAATAATTTTGGTATGAGTAGGTACGTATACATATTCTCAATAGGATAGATGAAGATGCCTATTATTTTAATGCTGTGCCCAAATGAATCTGTCTCTTATACACATCTAGATGNTCTCAAAGAATCCCAGAACAAACTTGAGGAATTGTCAGAAAACTTGAAGAAAAAGTCCGAAGATTTTGTTGAACTCGAATTGAAACTTAAGCTGAACCAGGAGCAACTTAAAGATGCCGAATCAACTTCAGCTACTCTGAAGGTGGGTGATCTTTGTATGAATAACTTGATTTCAACGATGTGGACGAGTTGACATTGGTTACATTTTATGAGTTCTTTTTAATTGTGAGTTCTTTTTATGAGTATGAGTTATTATGAGTATTTAATGATGAGTTAAATTTCACTCCATGTTGCTGCGTATCCACGAATTTAGCCAACATTAAATGTTTTTTAGATTTATTCCACTGTACATATACCGTACCGGTATTATAGGTAATTTTATATAAGTTCAAAATATAGTAATTTTAATTCACGAAATGTATACCGTAAAGAAAAAATTTCTTCCAGAACGAGCTGAATGCCGTCGCCGATCAGCTGAACGCTGAAAAGACAGCTCGACTGGCAGACGCTGAAGTCAAGAAGCAAGAGCTGCAGGAGGCGGCAAATAAGAGAGATCTTTTGCTGCAGGAGCTGGAGGACCAAAAACAGAAGCATGCAGACGCTATGGGTGCCATGGAACAACAGCTCTCAAAAGTCGTACGTTTAGAAAAAAATTTAGAAATAAAGATTATTCAAGGTGTTCGATGAACAATTTTTAGAAAAACATGTAGATACATTTTAATTAATTTTTTAGATAAAAAACTCATTCTAGTTTCCTTACTCTATGGTCAGTTTTTTGTATCTAATTATATATTCGTATTGCAGTGTAATTTTTCTTGATTGACTGCATTATACCGTACCTAATTGTTTAAATTAAAAAAAAATGTACAATTTATTTTTTGAGCCACTGCTTGATAATTAGTTAAATTGAAAAATGTACGATTTAATTCTTGATCGAATGCCTGATAGTTGATTAAATTAAAGAATTTACAATTTACTTCTTCTAATCACCTCGGTTACCCCATATACCATACTATCATATACCATATAGTACTATATACCATATGTCATATACCATATACTATACTATATACCATATACTATATACCATATACTATATACCATATACTATATACCATATACTATATACCATATATCATATACCATATACTATATACTATATACCATATATCATTTACCATATGGTTATATTTCACGCTGTTTATGTTGTCGTACATTATGTTTTTTATGCAGCGTGAGGAACTGACGGCCTCTGAAGCTGAGGCGGGAGACTACAAGCGACTGCTGGAGGCTGAGCAGAGCAAAGTCGCTGAGCTGCAGCAACTCAAGCAGAGTCTGCAGGACCAGGTATTTAAATTATAAGCATTTAATAACCTGTTTTTCTACCTGCAAAGTAACAGGCGTCTGATATTTAAGACATATTTGGCCCTCAAATTTAAAACCTGCAAAGTTAAACGTACTTAATCGTCTGATATTTAAGACATATTGGGCCCTCAAATTTACAAAAGAAAGGACCTGCAAAGTTAAACGTACCTAGTCGTCTAAAATTTAAGACATATTTAGCCCTCAAATTTACAAAAGAAATGCTATTTAGGTTGAATTAAGTGAATTTATTGTGATTTTGAGGAGTCCTGAAAGGAGATGTTAACAGATGTTAACCTCTGCTGAAACAAACACGATAAAAATATTCAGAAAGAATATTGTTGTGTTTCAGAAAATTTAACTTTCGTTCTACGATACAAACTTGAAAAAAATCCTCTGGAAAAGATAGTTGGAAAACACAATGCTAATACCAACTATTTTCCAATAGTTGGGATAGTTGGGATACTATTATACATAGTAAGTTGGGATAATAGTTGGGATAATAATAATAATAGTTGGGATAATAATATTGGGATAATATCCCAATAGTTGGGATAGTTGGGATACTACTAAAATAGTTGGGATACTATTTTCCAATAGTTGGTATTATATTTCCAATTGTTGGTATAACCAATGCTATCGATTATAGTAAAGGGCTCGTAAATTTTTACGTATTTTCCCTATAAATTTATTTGTTGTGTGAGAATTTCAGAGGAAACATTAATTTCACAATATATTTCAATTTATTTAATTCTATCTCAGATTCAGTCGTAATTCTAGTCTTTAGTTTTGTACAATTCTCTATTGACTCTCAAGGTAACAGGAGAATTTTAATAAAATTAAAAAATAATGATAAGTTCTACAAACGTAATACTATGTATAACGTAACTTTGTGGAACAACTTAGTGCCTTGAGGAACCTCAACATTCTAATCCCTTCACAATCATGCCATGTTTGGCTCTTCATAATCATACTATTTGGCTTGAAACTCCCCCTAGAAAATAGCTTTCTCTGAAAAATGTTATTTCGGAAATTGGATTCAAAATTAAATGCAACTAGTTCAAGGGTAATCATGTCTTTTCAAACCCGACGTTCAAACGCCAAGCAGAGCGCCTCCCGCCACGATGGAATATTGTTGCGAACATTAATAATGTTTTTTACAACACCTTTCGTGCCATAACTTACTTGACTTTTTTAATATAATTATCGTGTCCAACCACAAAAGGCTCTGATTTATTTTTATTTCTGAACGAGACTTGTGTAGGCGAAGCGCTTGCATGTAGAAATCCTATTATAGTTCTTTCGGAACGGTGAACTCGAGTGATGTTTTTAAAGATATTGCGAAAGGTATTAAACAAACAAAATATACTTGAAAAATAATTGAAAGATCAAATATTCACTGACTGTATAATTCTTAGTTCATTTAAAGTTACAAAATCAAGATAGAATTTACTATTTCATGAAATTCGAGTGTTATGACTAATGAATGGCGAAAAAAAAAATTATTTTTAAATATTATGACGTGATCAAAATGTCCCAATCAAGTGCACATTTATGTTTAATTTGCAACCTTTCCAGATACTATATATGAATAATAACTAAAATAATTTTCCTATCAATTTTGTATGTTAGTGTACGAGAAGTTAGTGAAAGGCCCAGAAGGTAAGCGAAGCAAAAAACTCATCTCAAAATTAAAATCGTGTTTGTCACGGTCAAACCGAAATCTTTCTTACCGTACCTTGATTCCTGGGAACCTTTTAGGTTCACAAATATTCAATAAAAAAGAAAGAGAAAAAATAAAGAAAAGAATAACACACGCTTCTACGCATTTCCCTGTTGCTTCCAGTTCACGGTTTTTAGTAGAGCGCATGCAGCTGAAAAGGAAATAATATTTACAGACCAAAACGTTTTAGGAAATTTAAATTCACTCTTTTTCGTGTGATACATTAATATCTAGAGAATTATTTTCTGAATTATTGGATTAAATTTTTGTTTGCTGTTTTACACAATTTTCAAACTCGAACAGTATGTGCAAACTAATATTTATTTTTCATCAATATCCTACAGCTTCAATGAGTCGAACTTGGCTTCGAATTCTTCGTGACAAATTTAGTAGGTACAGTTTAGTCAGGACAGTTTAGTCAGTACAGTTTAGTCAGGACAGTTTAGTCAGGACAGTTTAGTCAGGACAGTTTAGTCAGGACAGTTTAGTCAGGACAGTTTAGTCAGGACAGTTT